AGCAACAAATTTTTTTCTGGTGGTTTACTCTTGTAAGTTTGCACGCTATGTGGCTTTCTGGCATTATTTATACTTATTTTGCAAGCAACAAATTCGGAAGTTGCATATTTCGAGAGCAACAAATTCAGACAATACGTTAGTATCAAATTTAAGCGAGCAACAAATTTTTTTCTGATTGTTTACTCTTGTAAGTTTGCACGCTGTGCGGCTTTCCGGCATTATTTATTCTTATTTTGCAAGCAACAAATTCGGAAGTTGTATATTTCGAGAGCAACAAATTCAGACAATACGTTAGTATCAAATTTAAGCGAGCAACAAATTTTTTTCTGATTGTTTACTCTTGTAAGTTTGCACGCTGTGCGGCTTTCCGGCATTATTTATTCTTATTTTGCAAGCAACAAATTCGGAAGTTGTATATTTCGAGAGCAACAAATTCAGACAATACGTCAGTATCAAATTTAAGCGAGCAACACATTTTTTTCTGTTGGTTTACTCTTGTAAGTTTGCACGCTGTGCGGCTTTCCGGCATTATTTATTCTTATTTTGCAAGCAACAAATTCGGAAGTTGTATATTTCGAGAGCAACAAATTCAGACAATACGTCAGTATCAAATTTAAGCGAGCAACACATTTTTTTCTGTTGGTTTACTCTTGTAAGTTTGCACGCTATGTGGCTTTCTGGCATTATTTATACTTATTTTGCAAGCAACAAATTCGGAAGTTGTATATTTCGAGAGCAACAAATTCAGACCATATATCAGTACCAGATTTAAGCGAGCAACAAATTTTTTTCTGATTGTTTACTCTTGTAAGTTTGCACGCTGTGCGGCTTTCCGGCATTATTTATTCTTATTTTGCAAGCAACAAATTCGGAACTTGCATATTTCGAGAGCAACAAATTCAGCCAATACGTCAGTACCAAATTTAAGCGAGCAACAAACTTTTTTCTGTTGGTTCACTTTTGTAAGTTTGCACGCTGTGCGGCTTTCCGGCATTATTTATTCTTATTTTGCAAGCAACAAATTCGGAAGTTGTATATTTCGAGAGCAACAAATTCAGACAATACGTCAGTATCAAATTTAAGCGAGCAACACATTTTTTTCTGTTGGTTTACTCTTGTAAGTTTGCACGCTATGTGGCTTTCTGGCATTATTTATACTTATTTTGCAAGCAACAAATTCGGAAGTTGCATATTTCGAGAGCAACAAATTCAGACCATATATCAGTACCAGATTTAAGCGAGCAACAAATTTTTTTCTGATTGTTTACTCTTGTAAGTTTGCACGCTGTGCGGCTTTCCGGCATTATTTATACTTATTTCGTAAGCAACAAATTCGGAACTTGCATATTTCGAGAGCAACAAATTCAGACCATATATCAGTACCAGATTTAAGCGAGCAACAAATTTTTTTCTGATGGTTTACTCTTGTAAGTTTGCACGCTGTGCGGCTTTCCGGCATTATTTATACTTATTTCGTAAGCAACAAATTCGGAACTTGCATATTTCGAGAGCAACAAATTCAGACAATACGTCAGTATCAAATTTAAGCGAGCAACACATTTTTTTCTGTTGGTTTACTCTTGTAAGTTTGCACGCTATGTGGCTTTCTGGCATTATTTATACTTATTTTGCAAGCAACAAATTCGGAAGTTGCATATTTCGAGAGCAACAAATTCAGACAATACGTCAGTATCAAATTTAAGCGAGCAACACATTTTTTTCTGTTGGTTTACTCTTGTAAGTTTGCACGCTATGTGGCTTTCTGGCATTATTTATACTTATTTTGCAAGCAACAAATTCGGAACTTGCATATTTCGAGAGCAACAAATTCAGACCATATATCAGTACCAGATTTAAGCGAGCAACAAATTTTTTTCTGATGGTTTACTCTTGTAAGTTTGCACGCTGTGCGGCTTTCCGGCATTATTTATTCTTATTTTGCAAGCAACAAATTCGGAACTTGCATATTTCGAGAGCAACAAATTCAGACAATACGTCAGCACCAAATTTAAGCGAGAAACAAATTTTTTTCTGATGGTTTACTCTTGTAAGTTTGCACGCTGTGCGGCTTTCCGGCATTATTTATTCTTATTTTGCAAGCAACAAATTCGGAACTTGCATATTTCGAGAGCAACAAATTCAGACAATACGTCAGTATCAAATTTAAGCGAGCAACACATTTTTTTCTGTTGGTTTACTCTTGTAAGTTTGCACGCTGTGCGGCTTTCCGGCATTATTTATTCTTATTTTGCAAGCAACAAATTCGGAACTTGCATATTTCGAGAGCAACAAATTCAGACAATACGTCAGTATCAAATTTAAGCGAGCAACACATTTTTTTCTGTTGGTTTACTCTTGTAAGTTTGCACGCTATGTGGCTTTCTGGCATTATTTATACTTATTTTGCAAGCAACAAATTCGGAACTTGCATATTTCGAGAGCAACAAATTCAGACCATATATCAGTACCAGATTTAAGCGAGCAACAAATTTTTTTCTGATGGTTTACTCTTGTAAGTTTGCACGCTGTGCGGCTTTCCGGCATTATTTATACTTATTTCGTAAGCAACAAATTCGGAACTTGCATATTTCGAGAGCAACAAATTAGCAACAAATTCTTATATTATTGTTATGTACAATTTTGTTGCTATATATATATTGTTCCGCTAACTTAATCTTCCTTTAGCGGAACATCATTTTTTTTTAAAACTTACAGAGCAACAAATTTTTTTCTTTGACAACTTTTTAGCAACAAATGAGCAACAAATAAAAATATTAATTAGAATTGATTCTGCTCATTTTGTTCCGCTAACTTATAAGACGTCACGGTAATGCAATCAGAGATAATGTAAACTGATATCCAAGTATGCTATCTTAACTCTATTGGAAAATAAAACAAGCTATAATTTTAAAACAAGTAAATATCGGACATATATTTATATGAACTTTTTCTCTTATTTTTGTGTCCTGAATCCCTCATTGCAATACTTCCCACTTTTTAGGCTACACCCTGTATAATAAAGGATAAAATTGTATAACCATATTAAATTTTTCCAATCTAAATTTTTAAATACTACAGAGTTATAACATTGAGTCACATCATTGCAATTGGTATGCGAACGGTACATTCTGCATGTTCTCCATTTATCCGTCTCTTGAAAAATGCTCGTACCCGTTTCCTATGCGCCACGAGCACAATATTACATTCGACTATAATGATCGAAAAAGAAAACTCCTAACGATAGATTGCCATGTTATCGTTAAAAGACATGAGATTATATTTAACGAGAATGCAATTTGGTATACTTATTTATTGACACTTATAATTCATATAAATAACCAAAAATAAGAGAAAATCCCGCTTATTATATATATAATATCTTTATAGATAGCAATTAAATGAACGTTAAATGAGTTACCGAAAAAGAGAGGGGGGGATGGAGGGAGGAGAGGGCAGGGAGGGAGAGAGGGGGTGAGAGGGAGAGAGCGAGGAGGTGGGAGAGAGAGAGGGGGAGAGAGAGAGAGACGAATCATTCTGAAAGCAGCCGAAAATGTGTGCGTGTAATCAAACAAGATGTTCATCCTGCCTTATTCCCTCTTCCCGCCTTTATATCTTTGAGTTCTCTTTATTTATTGCGCCTAAAAATAGCTACTTGCCGTTATTCTTTTATTTAGACAAAAATATAATTCCTATGTAGAAAACATCATGCATAATTATGATTAATATCCAACTAATCTCATATTTTTTTCCTCCAATGTGCGTAAAAGATATGATCTATAATCATTTTTCACGAGAAAGAAATGAGAGAGTATTTGACACTAAATACGACTGACATTTTCATTTCTATTTATTATTTGATCTTCTTTATTCGATTTGATCAATGATCGAAAATATAATATTAAATTTAGATAGGTGCACGAATCTGTGTGATATTTTTTAGTAGAAAATACTAATTGTGTGTCAATAATATATATAGTATATTCAATTCGAATTCGTTATAATTTATAATATATATATACAAGAATGAAAGTATATATATATATACTTTCATTCTTATAACACAATGGGAAATTTCATCTCGCAATTTTCTATCAAACAATTTTCAATTTTCTAAGTCAAACATCTCATTCATGTCGTGAAATTGGTGCGACAATAAAAATACATGTGTGATTCCCTTTTTAATTTCATCCGTTTGACATTCACGAGAGATATTAATCGATATGAGAGAAATCAAACAACTTTTTTATCATATTACAAGTCTAGTCCGCTCGAGTCGCGTCATATCGCAGCGCAACAAGTAGACGACTCTCTTCGGCGAGCATGGAGCGTTTCGTTCTGCAGCGTTAAGCACGCGTGGCATCACGCACGCACGCACGCACGCATGCACGACGGAGAAAGACCGACATGCCGCGAAGGTCGCCGAGCCCTTCTCAATGGAACGGTACATCTCTCCCGCGATGGTCAGCTCTCTTTCTCTTTCTATCTCTCTGTTTTTGTCTATTTCTCTTTATGTATATGTCTCTCTTTCTCTCGCTCCTCGTTTCTCGAGAAAAGCGCTTCTCGAAGATCAGGCTCGAGAACAGGATTCCTCTCGATCGCGACAAACAAAGATACCATAATCGAAGCTTACGTACCTTGTCGAGGCATTTGAGCTCCTCGATCGGATAGACCGTCTTCTCACAGCGAGCGCACGTCTTGCTCATCTTTCTCTCCTCTTCCTCGGCTACGTCTTGCCGTACAATATTTCTTCCTCTCTTCTCCCGTATATTCACCACCACTCACACACTTTAGTCTGCTTTCCGCGGATATTATGCACGCTTCTTGTCTATATCCTAATTTTTCAGTCCCAAGTACTGAACGATAGTAAGCACACACGCATACACGCATACACGCACATACGCACGCACGTATGCACGTATGTATGTACGGCGGGGAGGAGTCGGTATTTGCACGTGCGTGATATATACACTAGCGACACATCCGAACGACCGAATTGCTAAATATAAAACTGCCTGCTCAAATCGTTGGCGCCTGCTTGTGCTCACGAAAATCCGGCGGGAAAAACGTCGCGATGACTCGACTGTATTTTCCGATTAACTGTCGCACCGCTTGTTTCTCACTTCTTCTCCGAGTTTTCTCTCTCTCCCTTTATTCTTTTCGCACGAGACCCACGAAAACGTAGCGGAAACACTCTTGAGCTCGCACGGGCACCAACCGCATCAAACCGCACTGGCCTCTCGTCCTCTCGACTATCCACAAAAAAACCGTCAACTGACAGCTATGGTGGATCGCACTACACTAGTCAATACGGCGACTGAACTGACGACTGACGACTTGTCGCGTACGCATACTGCGAACTGTGAATGCCGCGTCACGTGATACGATTCGGACGCGCAAGCGCAAGATTCAGGGCCGGCACGATCATTTCTGGTACCATATGATAGTTTGAAAATTGCGGAAAAGTCGTAAAATGTTTTTAAATATTTTTTAAAAATTTCTCATGTTTTATATTAATTCCTTTCACCGCGCGGAAAGCAATTACTGGTCGCAGAAAAAAATATATATCACACAACTTTAATTATATATTTGACCAAAGATATAAAATTTTGAAGAAATTATATAATCCCATGCAGCACAGAAAGGTTGCAGACATTGCAGAATAACAATAAATCAAAGAGGAAAAGGCCAACAGGAGTCCGGACGCGGTATTTATTGCGTAATAATAGCGTGCTGTTTATTTAACAAAAAGTATTGATGAACATGATATAAATTAGTAAATAAACATTATAAAATAACAGAAACCAAACGTTTCCTTATCAATGGTAATGATCTAATATTAATGTAAAGAAAGATCTCGTGAAACAGAGTAATGCATCCGGAACGCAACTAGACTTATACTAATTTACAAGATTATCCAATAGATCGCAGTTCACACACCAGAACAAAATATCAAATAGATATCTATAGAATATCTATTTTATGTCCATGTCTACTATGGATAACTAGTAGACACATTTAATAGATAAATAAAATATCTATATCTCTCAAACAACTAGCGAGGATATCTAATGGATGTGTACACATTATCCATATATCCGTGTCCACTAAAGAGCTACCAAAGATATCTACTAGATATGCACGTGTTATCCATATATCCATGTTCATCAAGTAGCTATCGAAGATATTCATTAGATATTCACATGTTATCCACATATCCATGTCCACCAAGAAGCTATCAAAGATATTTATTAGAGATTTACGTGTTCATTTGCTTATCGCAATGCAGCACTATTCACTTTATATACCCGTATTCTTGTCATGAACATATATAAAGTCTGCAAAATGCGGTTAATAACATTCTAATTATTTCTATCAGTTTAATTTCTGATACGATTTCCGTACCGGGCAATTCAGATATTGAACTAATTTTTAGAAAATTGGACATTTATCTGGTCCGAATAAACAAAAATCGTTTGTTATTATCTACTGAAAATATAAAATAGAAATTAACTTCGATATAAATAAAATTTTTAATTTTATAAATTAAATTATATAAATTTACATATAATATATATTACATCAATATGTTTTATTATATTAGTTGTACAAATAAGTTTCCGCCGTATATCTACATAAATATCCACTGAATATCTACAGAAATATCCACTGAATACTGATGTGTATGTCCAGTGAATATTGGCCTACATATCCTGTGGACATTTATAAGATCTCGTATTGCGGACATTTGGATATTTAAAGTATGTCTAATAGCTGTTTCCTAAATATTCATCTATACTTATCATCATTACATTTAAATCACCGACACATATACATATTATGATGGCGTTTTGATATCGTCGATTAATTTATATAGATTCTATGCGGATTTTGATGAGCCATTCGATTATCGACTTGAATTTGATTTTCGATTGTAACAACTGTATATATCTGCACCTTCTACTTAAAAGATGCATGAATTACACATGTATATCAAAATTTATCGTATATGAGAGTTGCATGAAGCCGTGACAACCCAAAACGTTTAGAACAGCTTTTAGAACGAGAGAATATACTTGCCAAAATACCGCGGAGTACTGCATTCGGGTTGAATTTTCCGCTTAATATTGCGCATGTTTAGTTTTACATACTAATTTAATTTTCATAACTATGCTGAAGATGGGCCAAATGACGGTCCAAAATGTCAGAAATCACAGCTCCACCTGCAAATGGGCTGCAAATTTTTTTACGAACTGTTTATGTTTAGAAAGAAATATAAATAACCATTTTTAATTGGGGGAGGCCCAAAAAAAAAGTTATAGACCAAAAAAAAGTAATTATTTCGAGGGTAATAATTAAAGGGTAAGGTCTTTTCTGAATTTTGACAAATATGATCGGATCTCTCGGTAAAACTTTTTGTTGTGACTCCAACAGTGATAATCAGTCGGGGGAGCCCGTCCCCCATTACCCCCCCCC